GAATGCCAATTTACTAGAAGAAAGTATTCTTGTGTTGAGGGAGTACTTGAGTGGAGGCCCAATGTCCTTCTGCTACCTTAATACTAAACCTATAACTGTAGGCTCATTGGACTCTGTCTGACTTTTGTAACACATCACTCTGACAGCTATAAATGTTTTTTGGAACTACTAACCCCGTCATCGTCAAATTAATCCTGAAATAGTCCTTTCAGTAAGCATAAACACAGAGCATTCATTGAAACATAATCTGAATTAAACAAAACTTTCTCTCAGGAACCCTGCTTCTGAGAACTTCTGAAAGTAAAAGTTTCAACTGAATGGGGTCTCACCCCCCAACCCTCACTAACTATCATCTTATTAAAATTAACTGAAAGTTGAGCTTAATTGGATATCATGGCAAAAGTCAAGAACAAAACTAAAGAAGTCTGGATGGGATAGACGAATGGCCTGATTCTTTACCCTCTAGATATCGTGATCAACAAACCATTAACTAAAGTGATATTCAGGTTCAAACAGCAATCCACTGTGGGGCAGGAGGCCATGTTCCCTGGCACTCTGCCAAAAGTTTGATGGGGATAGCAAAGAAAGTCTGTCAGAAGTAAACATTTTAATTTTGAATGCTTTTTTGCCTTTCTACTTAGATCTTCCACCTCCTGCAACCCGAGAAAGACCACCAGGATGCAAAACTGTATTTGTTGGCGGCCTGCCTGAAAATGGGACAGAGCAGATCATTGTGGAAGTATTTGAACAGTGTGGTGAGATTATTGCTATTCGGAAAAGCAAAAAGAATTTTTGCCACATTCGCTTTGCTGAGGAGTACATGGTGGACAAAGCCCTTTATCTGTCTGGTAGGTGATTCATTGTGAGAGTTTGAAGATCTGTGTATTTGCATCTGTGGCAGCTACAGTTTGGGCTTACTGGTAATGGTCTTGTTGTCAGAGATGGAGAATGTATGTCACTGCCTACTTTTTCCTTTAAAGCTCTGCAATGGCTCCCTGTTGTCTATCAGATAACACCTAACATGTGACATACAAAGGCCTTGATTATCTGCTTTGCTCCTACCTCTCCAACCATGCTAATTCTAGTTCCCATAATGGGTGGGGGCATTTTATGCCTTTTCCTGGGACTGGAATTCACTCTTTAACCACCACCCCTCCCCCTGCGCTGCCCCACCCCACCTCAACTCACCTCCACATCTTAATATCTTAAAACTCTAGTCCAAACACAAGTGATGCTAGGAAGCATTCTCTGATTCAGCTCCCCATTCTGCTCCAAGCTAGTTTAGGCATCCCTTTCTTTGTGCTTTCTCCTAATTTGGTACCCATTACACTATATGGGGACTATCTTCATATGTCTTCCTCAACAAAATGAGAACTCCTAAGGACAGAGGGTATGTCTCATTTGACTTTGAATCTCAGCACCCAGTATATAATTGGTACACAGTAGCATTCTTAAAAAATAGTCATGAAAGTAAGTTAGAAGTCAAAGATTTATTGACTTATAGGTGGCATAATTGTTATGTGTAGGACTGCCATCCATAAGACCAGCAGTTTGAAAACACTAGTCACTCCCTTATGGGAAGACAGGGCTTTCTACTCCAGTACAGAGTTACATTCTCAGAAACAAACAAGGACAGTTCTACCCTGCCCTGTAGGGTCACTATGAGTCAGCATCCAGTCAATGGCAGTGAGGTCTTTTGTTGTTGCTTTAGACAGAATTGAAGGCTGCTAGAGAAATAGCAAATACCAACACAAACAGACTTCCTGTCATCAAGGAGATTACAATCTGGACATGAAAAAAAAGTGACATACCGATGCAAATACATAGTTAATATCAGGTTCTGATAAGTATTATGAAAGAGATAAAATAGACTAGCATGTAGAGAGACGAGGCAGTGTTGGGAGGAGCATTTGCTCCTCAAGAAACAGGAAATTGTTAGAAACTTTAACAAGGAAGATGATTGTTTCTGAAAGATTAATTTAACAGCTCTGTATGAAATGAATTAGAGAGGAGGAGAGAAGATATTTAGAAGCTTGTTGTGATAGGCTAGAGAATAGGGTTTGAAAAAGTAGGCTAGTACCAGGAGAAAGATGTAGAAGACTCATTACAGTTTCTAAGTGCTGTAGAATATAGCTACTGAAGAGTCAACAGCACTTAGCAATGATAACAGCATTCTGAAATAGAGTATTTTACTAAGAACATAAAGTCCTAAAAAGGATTGCACGGTTGTACATAACAGTACATAACAGGCAACATGTTGCTTGGGAGGTGTCCATGGAATCATCATCGAAATCAGTGCCCCATTAATAACCACATCCTGGAAACAGTCTCAGGGCTATAAATGGAAACGGGGTCACAACCAGGTGTAAGAAAACAACTGCATTTTGCCCTTTGAATTTGAACTACCAGCTTGAAAATTCACACATGCTAGAAATCCCTGAATTGGATGGCTCTCATGGCACATTGTAAAAGAAAGAGGTTAAAATACACAAGCAAACAAAAATCCCTTACACAAAGATGTAGAAAAACATAGAAATCATCTGTTGAATTATTCCTGTTGGAGTTGGAGCACCTTTGGGAACTGGCATTGTGCCCAGCACACCCACCTCCTCTCCTGTTTAGTGCTGTTGACACAGAGCCCTCATCATCCTCTTATTTCGTCCTCTCCACAATCCTGTGAGAATAGGCAAGGTAATCATTATTAGTCCCATTTGGCTGAAAGTTCTGAGGATCAACTAGGATGAATGGCCTTTAAAGTGTAGTGTAAAGGACACTTTAGACATGTTTACTTATAAAATATATTTTTCCCCTTTCTAAAAAGTATCAGGACAGTTTTAGAATTACTGGGTAATATTCTTTCTAACAATTTTATTGAGGTGTGGCTGACATGCAGTGAATTTCACATATTTCAGAAATGCAATTTGATAACATTTGACACAAGAGGGGGTACCCCAAAAAAACCTGGAATTTTTTTCCAAGCTATGTATTTAAATTTTCTTACAAAAAAACTGATCACCTCCAAAGAACTCCGTTGCACTTAATATATTTGTCAAATCTCCACATTCATTCTTGGAAACATTTTCCAAACTCATCTGTTTGGATGGCTGACAGTTACCTCCCTTATTTTTTTTCTTCACGTCTTTGATGTCATCAAATCTCTGTCCTTTCAAGTCTGTCTTCATAACAGTTTGACCTGATAGAATGAACTCCAAATGTTTTCAGTGTCGTCCGTCCAGGAAGTAGACGGACTTCCGGAATGAGGTTTGTCATCAATAGACATTTCATCTTTTTTGAAATGAGAAAACCACTCATACACTTGAGTTTTTCCCATAATGCTCTCCTTGTAAGCTGTGTTCAACTTTCCAATAGTTTCTGCAGCATTTTTCCCGAACAAGAAACAAAATTTCTCAGCAGCACACTCTTCTCTTAAATCAGTCATCACAAAATCAAGGTTCGAGTGAAACTGCTTTTACGAAAAAATTCACTGTGATGAGAGAACCTTCCCAGGGGAAGTCACTAGGTGCACTAACTAAGACTGAGTTGCTTGATGCTCCCCTAAAATGAAAAAATACTAATAAATTTCCACTCCACCCAGTGTAATTCCGTTTTTAGGGGGATACCCCCTCGTATGTATATATACATGTACAACCCCAATATAGTCAATAATGAGCATATTCATCACCCCCCAAAGCGTCCTCATTTCCCTTTGCAATCTCTTCTTCCTGCCCTTCCAATGCCCACCTCCCTAGGCAAGCACTGCACTGCTGTAGGATTTGTTTGCATTTTCTAGAATATCATATAAATAGAATCCTACATTATGTATGCTCTTCCTTCCTTCGTAGAGAGATCTAGATTTCCAGGTGGTATTATTTTCCTTGGGTCCGAATTTCCTTTGACACTTGTTTTGCTTCATAGGGTAGATCTGCCCCTGATTAATTCTTTCAGCATTTGTAAGTATGAAAAAAAACATTTACTTCACCTTTGTTTTAGAAAGATATTTTCTCTGGGTATAGAATTCTAGGTTGACAATTTTTGTTTTTGTTCTTTTCCTCTTCCATGTTTCTTTACTGTGTTCTTTCTGGCATTATTTCTAAAAAGAAATATGATGTGACCTTTACCTTTGTTTCTCAGTATATGAGGTTTCCTTTCTCCTATGGCTGTTTTTAAGCTAATTCTCTATCAGTAGTTTTGTGCAATTTGATTATGATATGCCTTGGTATCATTTTCATCATCTTTCTTATGCTTGGTGCTTATTGAACTGCTTGGGTCTGTAAGTTTATAGTTTTCATCAGTTTGGAAAGTTTGCTGCCCTTGTTTTTTCAAATACATTTTTTTCTACTCCCTCTCTTTATAGGCTTCAATTAGGCTTATATTAACCACTTTGAAGTTGTCCCCAAGTTCATGGAAGCTCTTTCAAATTTTTTATATATTTTTATCTCGCTATTCCATTTTGGGGAACTTCTATTGTTAAGTCTTCAAGATCACTAATATTTCTTTCTGAACCTAGATAACTAGGCTACCTCTGAGTTTCCCTCTGTACACTGAAACCCAGGCAATCAGTTGGGGAAGGCCCAGGGATCACTTCACTTGGTTACTGTCTGTCCATGATCACTGCTGTTCACTGCCTTAAAACACACTCTGTCCTATGTTTTGCCCCAATATTTTGTTGTTTAAGGCATCAGGGTAAATGTGGTCCTGTATTCTATGTTGGCCAGAAGCAGACGTTTTTGTTAAATACAGTTCTTGAAAGACAGGCTGGAATCATGGAAAGTATAATGAATTTTGAGTCTTACATACTGGATTCAGGTCCTAACTTCTTTCATATGCTAATTATTTAACCCTGGGATATCCATGTAACCTCTCTGACTTCACGGATGCTCACCTTTATCTTCTGGCAAAATTCTGCTGAAAATGATGTGGATAAATGTGCATGGAAACATCTGGCTCAGTTCCTGAGACTTAGAAAGCACTTCATGTATTTTGTTCTTGATGTCAAGAGACTTGGGTACTACTAACATTTTTTAAAACTTGTCTTAAACCTCTTATCAAGTTAATGCCAACTCATAGAAACCCTATAGGGTAGAGTAGAACTGCCCCTGTGAGTTTCTGAGGCTGTAACTCCTTACAAGAATAGAAATCCTCATCTTTCTTCTGCTGAACAGCTGGTGGTTTTGAATTGCTGACCTTGCCATTAGAAGCCCAATGCATAACCGCTACACCACCAGGGCTCCTTTGGATAACATAGCTGGGTTTTTTTTTTTTTAATAGAAATAGAGGCATGACTCCTGATTTTCTGAATCTCAGTCCTATACCGCTACATCACAATCATACTTCCTCTCCCCCCCCCCATGAATACCAAATTGCATGTCATCTAGGTCACATTCAAAAATTCAAAATCAAAACCACTGGCATTGATTCGGTTCCAACTCATAGCAACCCTATTGGACAAGGTACAACTGCCCCTGTTAGTTTCTGAGACTATAACTCTTTACAGGAGTAGAAAGCCTTGTCTTTCTCCCATGGAGCAGCTAGTGGTTTTGAATTGGTGACCTTGAGGTTAGCAACCCAAATCATAACACTCAATACCACTTGAGCTCCTAGGTCACATATAGGACTCCCCATTGTAGCTATTTTCCCCTCTTGTAACAGAATGGCTCAGAGTTTCCAAATGCAACTGTGAAGCAATTTGATGGATGAAAAAGTACTATGCTCATATTTGTAAATTTTACCAAAATGTTATATAGTGGGATGATGTTATCCCAGGATATCATAGTTTGAGGCCCCTTTTTTCTTCCCTAGTGCTATGTATAAATGTTCACTACTCATACCATTACCCACAGAGCTGCACTCTGCAGAGGTAGGTAGCAGATGGAGGAATGGAACTCCTAAAAACAATATGGACTCAAACCATTTAACAGTGAATAAACTTTTTACAGAGATAAGGCTGGTAGTGGGGAGAGAATCTGGGGTTACTTGGTCACTTGAAACAGCAGCAACCACATCTCCTTCTCTCACGCCCCACTCTTATAAACTCAGGTTACCGAATCCGACTGGGCTCTAGCACTGACAAAAAGGACACAGGTCGGCTCCATGTTGACTTTGCACAGGCTCGAGATGACCTATATGAGTGGGAATGTAAACAGCGCATGCTCGCTAGAGAGGAGCGCCACCGCAGAAGGCTGGAAGAAGAAAGATTGCGCCCTCCATCCCCACCTCCCGTGGTCCACTATTCTGATCACGAATGCAGCATTGTGGCCGAAAAACTGAAAGGTACAGAAGGCATTTAAGTTTCATGATTACAAGAACACTGCTGCTCTTCTCACCCTTTTTTTTTTTAAGAGAAATTTAATCAATGTATTTGTGTTATTGGCTTTTGTGTTAAGGAAATCTTCCAGAAATGCAAGAACCAGAAAATGTACCCCTTCAACTTATGTCTATGCTCCTTCACTATCTGTCTCAAGGGATTGTGTTTTTCTCCCTGGCATTGGGTGACTAGGAATAAATAAGTTTTTCCAATTCTCCCAAGCATCAGAAAACTATAGCTATTACCTCTGACTTGAGATATGTGCCCCCTCTTTCACAATGGATACCAATTAGTTTTGAATTATAAATCAAATGAGTGAACCAGAATGATGGAATTTGAGATGGCTCTGAAAACCTCTGGTCAAATCCCCATTTTACAGATGAGAAGGCAAAGGCCCAAAGAGCCAGAATCTTGGTACACATTCTCAGAGCCTTTAAAGATATAGCTAAGACCACCAGAAGTGTTCCATAAGTTAAATGGCCGAGTTTTTCCCCCCAGTAGCTATGGAGACTTTTAGACACTGCAGACTTGACCATATCAATTTTGATTCCTATTCCCCTTGCTTGACTCTTGAGGACATTTTGTTAATTTAACAGTAGTTGTCCTGCCTGGCCTCTTGTGTGAGTAGCTCAAACCCAGCCTTTCTCATTCTCTGAATGTGGCAGATTTTCATGAATGAATACTGGTATCTCTTCAATCTGACTGATGGCACCCACCCAGCTCTACTGGCATGAATTGTCCCTGCTGCTTGTGCTGTAGACTCAGCAAGATGCAGTTGATCTGACTTTACAAATAGGTCTCATTCATTCAATGTGTTTGTACCACATAGCCTAAAGGGCTCACACATGTCAGGACTCCCTTGCTTGAATTGATGTTGACTTCCTAAAACAGAAATGGGGAAGATACAATCTAGAACAGAAACACAAATAATGATAGCACTTTGAAAAAACAAAGATGGTTGAAAGCATTGGCAAAATGTTAAGTTTAAAACCATTTATATGATACCAAGAAGTCCTATGGAGCTTGTTTTTGTTGTGCTTTCTTTTAATGGAATCTGTTAGTTATGGCAACCTTCAGAGAAGAAAACTAAGCTTCAACAGAAAGACTGACCTCTACTTGTATGCCCACATTGAATAAAGGGTGCAAGGCAAAAATACACATTATAGTGAGGCTGCATGTAATTGCCCACCCACAGAGGTACGCCCCACAACTCTAGGCCAAATCAAGTTGAACGGGTTTACCATTTTTAGGACTGAACAAAGGAACAAGAAAAGCTATTGTTACACCTTTTCATGTAAATATTGTCTTTACATGAAATACATTTCATGACATGAAATTCTATGTAAATAGTGTACTTTTTTTCCCCAGACTGGTGGAAAACTCAACTAAAAATTCTAAATGAAAAAACATGCATTGAGGAATCTATCACTTGCCATAGAAGTTTTGGGCCAGAGAGGCCAGAGAACCCTACACCAGGACTTCAATGGGATGCTAATAGAGATTGGTGGGCCAGAAGCTTTGGAAGAGCTGTGCTAACTATTTGAACTTCAGAGAATAGCTTCTAGCTAGCTGCAGCAATCCTCTAGGAGGGTTCCTCAGGCAAGAGACACCAGTGTATAGAAATGTAGAAATAAAATGAATTGCATCAAAATAGATTGTGACTGTGACTGAGTAGAAGGCCTGGCACGGTGGATTGAATGCAGGAGTGATGTTATCAAAGATCAAATATGTAAGTGCTTCTACCCTAAGAATTAATCTCTTTAACTCATTTTAAGACTCCTTCCAACACTATAATATTTTTGACCCAAGGTAAATTTAAAATTGTAGAAGTCTGACATTCCCACACTACTCCTTCACACACACACACAGCTCAGAGAGGTGAAGAAATTTGCAGTATGTGAAAGTTTGTAATATCGGTGAAGAAAACGTTTTCTTAAGGATATCATTCTTCTGAAAATTCTTCCTAGATCACACCAATATGGCTGCTTTTTGAGGCTTTCTGTCTGCTGTGTGTGTGTGTGTGTGTGTGTGTGTGTGTGTGTGTGTGATTTTCCTTAGTAATTCATTTAACAACTCAAAAGCAAAGGTGACCTCCCCCCCAGCATATTGGGGAAATAGATTAAGATTTGGTTATTTTTTTATGGTTCTCAATAGAATTCTCTCCTTTTTTCAGATGATTCCAAATTTTCTGAAGCTGTTCAGACTTTGCTCACCTGGATTGAGCGAGGAGAGGTGAACCGTCGCAGTGCCAACAACTTCTACTCCATGATCCAGTCGGCCAACAGCCACATCCGTCGCCTAGTGAATGAGAAAGCTGCCCATGAGAAAGACATGGAAGAAGCAAAGGAAAAGTTCAAGCAGGCCCTTTCTGGAATCCTCATTCAGTGTGAGTGGAAGTCTGAGTTTTGCTGGAGGGGGTGAGGACACTTGGTCACAACTCACTATATAGACAGGAGCCCAGACTCATAGAGCTATCATCCTCTGTGTGGTACTCTCCTGATTTCACCAAATGTCCCAGTTTCCAGTTCCATGGGATCAATGTTGGCATAGCCTATTTCAGTCTTTTCTAGTGTCTCTGCTTCAGCTCTTTAGAAACCCTAACTCTTAGGCCCACTGTTCTCCACTTGTTCTTATTCTCAAGGTCAATTACTAGCAAACCTGGACCTTGGTGGAGAATTTGAGATTTCATTGCGGGAGCATTTTTCAGCTTTTCTTCAGATTTGGATCATTTTTATCATATAATATATTTTTGACACTCCATATGACTGATACATTTATTTATTTATGTTTACCAAGGCAGTGGACTAGGAACCAAACTTGCTACTCCTACTTTTTGTAGTGTGTTTCCTCTCCTCAACTTTTCCTTGGATGGATAGTAAAGGGAGTAGGAACTCACTGAAATGCCCATTTTTCAAGTGCTAGACCATCCAAACCTTTGCAAAGTGTCTTAAATGTGACAGAGCAGAGAAATTCTCTAGTGCCATTTTTGCTCGCTATATGATAGAACTATACCCTCTTATCTTTTAGGGGAGGCTTTGCATTTACTATAAGAGTGAGGGTACAGTTTTATGATGTTGCTTTTAAACAATTACAGTTTACTCTTACCATATAGTATAAATCGCTCATACATAATTGGGATTAAGGAGGAGTTGTTCCATTTTCAAGTTTTATTTTGAAAGATTTCTTTTATTTTTAAAGTTTATGTGGGCATAGAATCCAAGAGGACAAATGCTCATGTCTTGAAAACTCCCATATAAATAGAAAGAAAGGGTGTAAAGCCTTAAATCATCAGAAGACAGGGTACAAGCAGCGTGGTAAAGCAAGACAGGGCAGCATCTGAGCATTTTCTTGCTGTGACCATCTGACCAGGCAGGGTTTTCCCAATAGAGTCATATCTCGGCATCCCCTTTTAAACTACTTAGGCTAAACTCCATAGACTATTTGTTCCCAGCTCCCCACCTGACACTTTGAGCAACCTTGCAAAATACTCTCTAGGGCTGTACTTATCCAGTATTGCTCCCTAAAAGTTACATTCTTCCCATCCACAGAACTCTCTAAGTAGACCTGAAATAGATGGAATCCATGGTCAGTTTTGATCTGATGCTTCTGGGTAAGCATACCTTTCAAATGCTCAAATGGGAAAATTTACTGCACCATCCAGATGACTTGTTTTGTTGAAAGAAGTCAGTGGGAAAATGAGCTAGTGCAGTTTGCCACTTGCTGCAAATGTTGTATGGGGTCAATAGTACAAAACCACACTTAGTACAACTCTTGCCTCACCTGCCTGAATAAGCGCAGATTGCCTACACTCGAACTTTAGTTACCACTTCAGCCCAGACCTTCTGGAGGTCATTTTTGTCCTCCTGTGTACTGATGGCTCTGCCTCTGTGTGCCCTTTAGCACAACCACAATCTAGCATAATGCGATAACAAGCAGATCCAGCAAACCTGATGCTTTGTTTTCTTTCTTGTTTCTTCTCTTCTCTTTTGTCATCCCTGGATGACCCCCTGGCCTGATTCGCCTGCTGCAGTTGAGCAGATCGTGGCTGTGTACCATTCAGCGTCCAAACAAAAGGCCTGGGACCACTTCACAAAAGCCCAGCGTAAAAACATCAGCGTTTGGTGCAAACAAGCTGAGGTTGGTAACTTTTTACTCCAGGAGTCCCCTAGGAGGACAGTTTCTTTCTTTGACCATGTTATTGATTTGGAGTGTAACCAACATTAAAGAGTGAAAAGCTCCTTTGGTCACAAAAAGGCCCTAAGGAAACACTTGAAGGCTATGTTCTATAGCCTGTCACTGTGTCCACACCACCTGCTGCCCAAAGGGTAATAAATGTTCACATGCTACGTGAAATGCCTTTTGCTGGATGGAAACCTGAGTAGTGACATTACAGCTAGGATAATTGTCAGTTTATTTCTTTAAGCTTGTTAGTCTTGTACGCAATAATAATTAGTGACCTGTGTTTCTAGTGATAGTAATATTACAGCTGTCTTACATTTATTAGAGGGTCTTGACCATTGAGGCTGGAAGCTGCCTGGTGTTACACTGGAGTGTTGCAATTTCTGCGCTTCTTTGATGAAACCCATTCAGCTGTCTTTCTTTTTAGGTGGCAGCTTTAAAGGTAACTGAGGACTCTAATTTCAGATTAAGGTTGACACATGCTTCCTGGCCTGTGCCAAAGTGACATTTTTAGCATAACACTAGAATATGTGTGATGCAATTATAGGTCACTATTCTGAATCTGAGATTAAAAGCCAAGAGAGGAGGCTTGTTTTCAGTGCTCTGCCTTTAGCAATGGTGGTGCATAAGCTTCAAGCTCTTCTGTTCCTCAAGGCAACTGCCTTGCCCAGCCCTGAGGCTTTCAATCTGAAGGTGCAGCAACTTTTTCAACATCAATGCTGTGTTCTCCTTGCTAGTCTTGCACTGGTCTTATTATATCCATCAATGCTGGCTACCATGTTCTTTAAGATTGGAATAGCATTTTGAAAGCATTTACATGTTCTAAAGCATTTCTATTGGTCATCTCACCTATGTGGATAAAGCAGAAAGCACTGGACCGGAAGTTAGACATGAATTCAAATCTCAGTTCTGATAGGTTACAGCTAGGCAGCTAGGAGCAAATTATTCAACCAGTTTTACAGGATTAAAATGAGACCAGAGATGTGTAAGCAGTTTGAAAAATGTGAATACTACATAAATAATAGCTAGTACTCTTTGAATCTGCTTCTCACTGCTCCATAACACCCATAGGAAGTAATTCATACAAAAGCTCACAGCTAGTATGTGGTCAATTCAGGACTAGGCATTCCTCTTTTCACTGTGAGCTCTTGTATGAACTTCCTCATAGCCTTGAGCCAGTCGTTAAACCTTTGTAGACTTGAGTTTCCTCACCTGTAGACAGAAGGTAATACACTCTTTGCTCTGTCCTTCATTAGATCATATCGGGATAATTTGTAGGGTAAAAATTTGAAAGCCATGAAGGGTATTTAGGGGGAAAATAAGCTCCAATGCTATTGATAGACTGACAGTTGCTGAGCCATCAGTTCTGGCACAGCAGAGATCTAGCTCTGGGGCTCCTTAAAAGCAAACTCCTGAGAAGGAAATTCTTCTGGGTTGGGGGTGGGGGGCTGTCCATGTAGTTGGAATTGGGACTGGCCCCTCAGACCTCTCTATTGTTTCCCTGCTTCATGCCAGTATATTGCATTCATGTCTCAGAGCACCGGGTTGAAGTCTGGTCCCTCTTTCCCTGTGGAGATATAAACACTACCCTCCTCTTGGGTGGGTTAGTGTCCAGAGGACAACACTGAAGCTACAGCTGGGGAGAGGGACATGTCTGATAAGAGCACACACAAGCAAATGAAGGGGGAGGAATAGAGAGTGGAGTGCATCCTGACCCAGCAAGCCCTAGGGACATTATTCATGCTCAGGGCAGCCAATGCACAGAGATGACCATAGGGCCGGCCCCACTATGAGGCACGATGTCCCTCACTGACCCATAGCGTGATGGGGACAACACTATAGACACAGTGCAGAAATTGAGCCTGATCTGACCCTACCACACAAGGCAAAACATTAAGGGAATGCAAAAAAAAAATCAGGAAGGGGAACAGAGCAATGAAGTCCTCAAGGAATAACAAAAATAGATTTGGGGGCCAGGGCATGGCACCCCATCATGTTTTGTTTTTGTTGCTTTGTTTTGCTCTGTCTTGTTTTTTGTGCACATTATTGTCTTTGCAGGTCTATCTAGATAAGATAGTGGGATAAACAATCTGAAGGAGAAAACAACGGGACCTCTGTTCCAAGAGGACATGGGAGAGGGGGAGACGAGGGAAAGGAAGTGGGTGTTAACAAACCCAGGGACAAGGAAGCAACAAGTGATCCAAAATTGATGGTGAGGAGGGTGTAGGCCTGGTAGGGCTTGATCAAGGACAATGTAACCTAGAGAAATTACTGAAACTCAAATGAAGGCTGAACATGATAGTGGGACAAGAGGAAAGTAAAAGGAAATAGAGGAAAGAACTAGGAGGCAAAGGGCATTTA